GGGGGGGGGGGGGGGGGGGGGGGCGTCCTTTAATTTTCTCAAAATATGCTAGGTACTTGGATATACTGAAGGAAAATGTAAATGATGGCTCCGAGCCATCATCGCTGTCATTGCAACACCTGAAAAAGGAGACTCAGACAGGGGAGGGAAGCTAACAGCTGTCCAGGATGTTGGAAGCTGATGCTATCCCTGCATACTAAGAGGATTGTCCTATTGGAGAGAGAGCTCACCCCAAAGGAAGGAACTCAGCTGTGATTCCATAGAGCAGCTGTGTTAAGTGAGCTTCTTACAGAGCAGCCTTAGCTCAGCTTCCCCATCCTAGTGCCCTCCAGGTATATTGAGACTACACTTCCCAGAATTCCAATCCAGTGTGGCCTACTGCTGGGAAAAGTTATTTGTTTTTGGCAAATTACTTCACATTTATCTCTTTGATCACCAGGAAGTATTTATGTCTCCAATCCCAGGCCATTGCTCTGTTTGGGGGGAAAAAAAATCTGGTTTTGCTGAGCCTCTACAGAAGAAAAATAATTCGCTCCCCTCTCACTTTGCTAGTGTAACCCTCCAATAAAAAAACCTTCAACTTTGCGCTGTACTTGCAAAGTAAAGTAATTGTATGGCTCACATCCCAAGAAAAAAGGAACAATATCACAGCCCATTTTTGAAAATCCTGGCCAAGGGAGATCTGCTCGTCAGCCTTTTTTGTTCTTCTCTGTCCAACAGAAGACATCTTTCCAGTTAAAGGTATTCATAGGCTGTTGATTTGTCATTCTGGTAAACTGCTGTCTTACAATTTTAACATGACTGCATTTTCTCTTTCAAATGAAATTTTGCTTCTCAAGCCTGATGTTTCTGTTGCACACTGGTTGAGCAGAAAATGCAACTCCTACTTTTAAATAAGATGTATGCAATCTGAAAAGAAACCTACTTTTAAATAATAATACATGCCAACACATAAATTGCTTCCACTTCTTCAGAGTTCTTTTCTTCCAGTCGAAACCTCCCAGTGCACTTTCCCCTAATTAGAACAACTCTCTGAAATCAGGTAATCTAGTGACAGATAAAGAATTAGTCACGGAGCAAGCAGACAGAATGGTTTCCTTAATCCAAGAGAGTTAAGGAAATGGTTTGTGTTCCAAGTTGCTGACTAGGCCCCAAAGAAGCCTAGTTAGCAAACCAGAGTTGTTCTGGAGTTGGGTGGCCTTTAAATCTAATGGAAATAAAAAATAAATAAAAATCTAACAAACCAACAAACATCTATGAAAAAGAGGCGGCATTCCAGTGGCCAAGAAGTGCAAAAGTCAACTGTGGTGCAGTTAGAAGTTCACCAGCAGTGAAATGATGCCCCAACTTTGGGACCAGGACTCCCCCCAGTGTAAGTGTTAAGAACCAAGAAACAGCTTGTAAAAAGGTTGGATGGGCCCATGCTTGTTGAGAAGCAAACTAGAGAATAAGTGTTCAACATAAAGGGATAGGCCACAGGGCCAATTTGAAACTACACTAAAGATCTGCCTCTAAAGCAACCTGTCATTTTGGGGATTGTCACCTCTATCAGCCCCAATTAGCACAGCCAATAGTCAGGAATTATGGGAGCTGCCAACTGAAGTATTTCAAAGCCTCACATAACCTGACTCTGATCTTCCAGAACTGTAGCTCTGTGATTTTTTTTTAACCTCAGATGTTTCAGTTGAATGTCAGGATTTGATGTTGGGATCAGGGAGGGATATAGTAACTCTGGGTAATGTTCACACAAGGCACAAAGCTATAAATAAGCAAAGTACATTTTGGCTCAATGTATGTGTGAACCCAGCCTAAGGGTTTACAAGTAGTGTGCAAAGACCCACAGATGCATTTTCTCTTCTTATTTTTAACCATATTGCAAGTGTGGGATAGGAAGCCGAGGCTGATGGCTGTGGCCACAGAACATCTGCCCATTTTTGCACTGTGCTTTCTTAATGCTACAGCTGTCCCTCTCCAGTCTCTCTTACCTTCTGATCCCCGCAGCCTCGTCTCCTTCGTCTTGTGGAACCCTTTGCTTCAACTGTTTCCGAATATCCTTCCAACGTTCCTCCAGCTGCTGCCTGAATGGATCCAGTTCCAAGCGGTCCAGCTGCTCAGAAAGAATGCAGAGATTCCAAAGCCGGGTGCTCAAGGCACTGAGATTAAGACTAGATTAACTATCACTCTATGTGCAATGCAGATTCACAGGCACCTATTAGCCCGACTTCAGGGGAGTCCAAAGAGGAAGGTGGGCCATTTCTCTTTCCTGAAATGTGTACCTATAGGTACCTATCAAGTCAACTTATCACATAGCAACAACATTTTCTGCTTTCAAGGAGTTAACAGTACTGGATACTTGCTCAACATGAGAAACAAGAGTTTTACTTGCCATGCAGGAGCAAGGTTCAAGCACAAAGCAGGATGTCTGAAGAAACGTACAACTGAGTTGGAAAAAGTACAAAACATTAATGGGTCTCGATCCCGCTCCTCATGTGAAAAGGCTGGAATATTTGAAATTCCTTGGCTTTGAGAAAAGGCAGCTATAGGGAAACTTGGTTGAGGCATAGAAAATCAAGTATGGGCTAGAGAAAGTGGAGAAGGAAAGGTTTTTCTCCTCATCTTACTCTTTTTTTGCCCTTTGTATAACTTTATTCTGAAAGTGAATAGCATAAAGAGTATGTCTGCATGTATGCGTGTATGTATGCAAAATACTGGGACCAGGAGACTGACTAGAAGGAGATGGAGAATACAGTTAGTCCTTAGGTTATGACCATTTGTTCAGCGACTATTCAAAGTTATGATGGTGCTGGACAAGGGGGACTTACAACAGTTCCTTGGAGTTCTGGCTGTTGCAGCGAGCCACGGTCACATGATCGCAATTTCCGACATTCCCTGCCAGCTTCCCACAAGCAAAGTCAATGGGGAAGCCGGCAGGAAGTCAGAAGTCACGATCACATGAGGTGCTCGCTTAACAAGCCATGCAGTCCTTGTTTAACGACGGCAACCAGGACTGTTAGAATTACTGTCACTAAGCGATGTGGTCACATGATGTTGTGCTTTACAACTGCATCATTTAGCAACAGAGTTCCTGGTCTCAACTGCCATTGTAACCCAAGGACTACCTGTAGACAAAAGGAGGTAGCTCTTCACACAGAACATAATTAACCAGTGGAATTCATTACCATAAACTTCCTGTCATAGGAACCACTAGGATATATTTTGCACATGTTAGGAAGGACATGGAAAGAGAACAAAGCAAAATACTGCATTCCTTTTTTGCATGGAGGGTGGGTTACCACAAGACCTGCAGCAGCTTAAGCCAGAGGCCCTGATTTCCTGCTCTTTTATCTCAGCATTGCCAAGCTGGTAGAAAGGAAGATGACTGTAGATCATCTTCAAATCTCTCTTAAGGGACTGGACAGTGGAAACAGCAGTGATGTCAAAGAGCCTGTGGGCAAAGCAACTCTCTCAATATAAGAGACCTGGGAGCTAATGTAGCCCTTAGGTCTCGGCACTCGCTATTCCCTAACAGAGGATGCGCCAGCAGTGGCTACTGGGCTGTAGAGCCTGGCATTTGGGGAGAGTGAAGCGCTTATGGAGCAGGCTGAAACCAAAGGCAGGAAGACTTCAAACACATTCAGCAAACCGAAAGGAGGACATCTGCTGTTCTTCTGGTATCCTGTTCTTTGTATTGCGTGGCAGTGCAAATCTGGTGCTGTCTCTCTCCGTATAGGCTTGGCTCTTTAAAGAACACTCCCTCTGCTGGTGCATGCAAGACCATCATGTCCTCATGGTGATAAGACAATATAACATGGATTTCTTTTCTTATCATAAAAATCAGCACAGGCAGGCAGGTGTTGCCAGATACATTTTATAAGCTGGCAAGACTGTATGCATGATTTAAAGAAAAAAAGGCAATTAATGAATAGGTAAAAGCAAGGATGTTCTGCAAAGATAGAAAGGTACAGAAAGATATAATGAATGGCGTCGGTTCAGAATATTTTCAGTAGATTACTTTTACTTTTCTCTCACTTCCTACCTTTAACTTCTATTTCTTTCTTCTTATTTGTTTTCTACTTTAAACAACACTGCTTACTCCCAAGCAGAATAGCATAATGTATATGCCTGTATCCATTTGCATGACCAGGACATGCAGATATTAGCCCAGAAATAGTTATCCAGGCTTCTATGTAGGGCATGGCCATGAAGATGTCAGCCTAATTTTTTTAACCTGATTCCTTAACATCAGTTACATTTATGTATGTCAGATCTTTATCAAATCTGGATCTCATTCCTTTTCTCACTTTTCTGCTGTGCAAGTGGTGGATTTCTGATCCTTTGCAAGAAAACTTTCTTAGGAGTGGACCATGTATTTATTACACATTTCTTCTTGAGATTTGTTTATATAGAACTGTGAAGAAGTTAACTGTTGGGCCTTTGTTTGGTTGCTTGGTTTGATTTGTGTAAGTGGAGATTTATCACTGGTATGATTCTTCTCCCCATATCAGAGTAATGCTTCCTCTGCTACACATGCCTTCTGAGTTCATGCTGAAGCTTTTCTCATTTATTTTAAGGAAAGAATGCAGCACTGTCAATGGGTCCAAAAGAGGACACCTAGGCTGGTATTAAACATCACTACACCATTGTTTAAAAAGGTACGAAGGTTGGGTTCATGGACTCATAAACCATAAAACATGTGTTATATACTACAATGCTGACTTTGTACAATATGCTAAGTTAGAACCAAACAAACCAGTTTATGTCTCAGCATGATATGCAAACCCAATCCCAGACTACTGAAACCTATTTGGCTGACACTGCCATTGTTTTGTATTAGAACTGTATTACCTAATACAGACATTCAAATGCTTTGTTATTCACTATTCATATTGCTCATTGGCTGATAATGCTGCATTGTTGCTATATACTTGTTTGCCATTGTAGCACTTGAATGAAGACTTGGCATGGCTAGCCAGTAGGGAAAGGAGATTAGAATGTTAAGAGTTATTCCACTCTCCAATAGCCTTGTCATCTCTCAAGCTTTAAGGATGGTTCCATCTCCACAAAGAACTTGTTCTTCTTCTTTGTATGAACAAGTCAAGTTGAAACGAAGTGGACATCATGCACAATTGGGCGGTGGGTGAGGTAGCCCATCTGGCTTGTGTAATGAGATAACAGCTGAGGGAGACAGATGAGCAAGTATGGGTGCAGTGTCTCCCAATCAAATGTTCTACAACACTGGTGAGAAAACTGCCTCACACTAAGTGTGCATACTTCAGTCTTGGTACACAGGATAGGCTAGAGATTTTGTTAATGCACTGCAGTCTACCACTTAATGGAATCTGAACAGAGCTTCCAGAAATGGTCTTGGATCTGTTTTGGAGTCCCATAGGCTTACAGTGCTGAGAGACCTCAATATCCACTTGGGAGCCAATTTGTCTTGCGCAGCTGAGGAGTTCATTCCAATTAGTCACAGAGTCAACATATGATGGAGGTCACATGCTCAGTTTGATCTTTTCTGATGAAGGAAGTATGCCATGATTGGGGATACTTCGGTCTCCCACTGTCATGAAGGACCATTATCTGGTTATGGCTGGATTAGTGGCTAATCTAGTGGCATACCTATTAGAATGATCCCAAAAGGCTACTAGATCCAGCTGGATTTCAAGAAGCCTTGGAAGGGTTTGTGGTTAATCCCACCAGTGATTCTGCTGATGCTGTAGTTTGTACCTGGAATAAAGTATTTGCTTATCACCAAAATTGCTCCTAAACTCCTTTTCCAACTTGCTTCAAAGATGGCCTCATGATATATAGGGGGCTGAAATGGCAAGACAACAATTTACGGTGCAGGTGGAGAAAGAATCAGCATGAATCCAATAAGGCACAGGCTAAATCCTATTTGAGGACATGCCATGGCTATACATGCAGCAAAAACACATTTTCTTCTGCATGCATTGCTTCTGCAAGCTTGTGGCCATCTGAATTGTTTTGAATTATGAGGGGACTGATTCTTACCATACAGTCTTCTGTTACAGAGCCTTTTGCTACTTTTAATTTTTTATAGATAAAATCTTTAACTCTGGGGCCAATCCAGATGCCTCTTCTGATGCAGCATTGATTATGGAGATTTCTAGTATCTTCTATGGTTGGATTAAATTAATTTTAGTTTGTGACACTTGAGGATGTGGACAGGGTACTTGGAATGACATGTTCCATCACCTAATCTCTGGATTCTTGTGCATCTTCACTGGTAATTTCTAGCTGGGAAGTTACTACAAATACTTCAGTTAACATCATGAATGCATCTCTGTGGCAGCCAGGATGCCCCTTTGTTTAAAGGAGCCAGTTATTACTCCACTTCTAAAGTAGTCTGCAATGGATCCCTTGGAGATATGCAACTACAGGCCATGGTTGGTAAGATGATAAGAAAGACTTCTCACCTGCAAGCAGACCCAGGGGTTGTCAGCCTTCCCAGGTAAACCAGACAGGAAACATGACCAGACAAGCTAATTCTACTTTATTGTAAGGCTACATTAACAGAATCTTGCAAGTCTGAAGGTAGAAATCTCCCACTGTCTCTTTTACAGCCTGATAAGTTAGGGAGGTTCCTTTTTGAGTTTCTTACTCTTTCCATTATGTAGTTGTGGGCTATGCCCCCTCTTATTTGATTGTTCCCTAGGCAGTATCTCTCCCTCCCCCCGCACCATCTCCCAAAGTCATTCCCACATACCGTTACAGGGGTAGATTATTTTTAACTATTTCACACTGGCTTCTAAGTAGATCATGTGATTGAGATTGTCTTGCTTCTGGAGATTGGCAGAGGGAGTGTGAATCTGTTGATTCTTTTTGACCTTCCAGCAGCTTCTGATACCATCAGTAATGATATTCTTCTGGATCATCTGAGAGATCAGGGAGTAGGAGGCAATCTTCTGCAATGATTCTATCAGGTAGATTTCAGATTATGTTACTTGGAAACGGTTGCTCCTTGAAACAAGTGTCTCTCAGGGTTCCATTCTGTCTCTAGTGCTTTTCTGTATCAACATGAATTTGCCAGGGGAGATCATCAGGAGATTTGGAGCTGGGTGCTATAATTATGCTGATGACACCCAAGTCTCTTTCTCTGTAACATCTTCAGGTAATGGTGTAGCTTCCCTGAGTCCATGCCTGCAGTTGATAATGGCTGGATAATGGATAATAGTAAAGTGAAACTGGATCCAGAGTTACAGTTTCAGAGAGGTGGTAGATATCCCTGTTCTAAGCTCCCAGAAGAAGCAGGTATGGAATTTGCAGTTGCTTTTGAATGTAAATCTCTCCCTAGTTCTCTAGACCAAAGCAATGGCCAAGAGCACCTTTTATTGGTTTTGGCTGATATACCAATTTTGGCTGATACACCAAATTCATCCTTAAAATGATGCATCATATACTAGTAACATCCAAGTTTGACCTCTGTGACATACTCTGTGTGGGGCTGTTTTTGCATCTATCCTAGAAACTTCAACTGGTTCAGAACTTAATAGCCAAATCTCTCTGGAAGAACTCAAAGGAGCCACATTATATCTGTGTTAAAGACATCATGCTGCCTGCCAATTTGCCTCTGGGTGAAGTACAAAGTTCGTGGTTATTACCTTTAAAGCATTATATGATTCAGGTCCAGGTTCCCTGAGGAAAGACCTCTACGGGATTCCCCAACCCCATCAACTCGTAGAGATAATCTGAGGAAGTTCATCTACAATTGCTGCAGTCTGGGTCAAGCCTTCTCTGTGGCCCCTCCATTCTCTGGAATGCATTCCCTGCTGGGTTATGGGACCTAACAGCTTGCTTCCTTTCAAGAAGGTCCTAAAATTCACCTTGTAAATTGTTTTTAATTGTTGTTGTTAGTTTTTCCTACTATCTTGAATTTTAATTTTGATGTTATATCTTACTTATAAACCACCGAGGGACTTTGGTAGTTGGCAGTACAATAAGTTTAATTAATTAATACATGAATAATAAATATATGTTTGATTTATTTCTATAAAGTTTTTCCTTAGTGTTTATGCCTCAAGGGGTTCTTAATTCTTTTACCTTTTTCTAGATTATGATTTTATTAAATTTTTGCTCTTGTGCTTTTGTATTACTTGTTTACTCAGAGATAGTATTTTCTGCAAGGAAAGCCTTCTCCTGTAGGTAGGTGGAGGGATGGGCTGACAGAATCAATTCCAGAGACATCCCATTCAAAGAGGTATGGAAAACAGCAGAGGAACCGTTCCTATAAAACTATTATTCTTATTTTAATTATCCTGCCTTTCTACCATCCATGCTCCGGGCAGTTTATGATAGAAACACTTTCAATGAAGCCTCATAAAGTAGTAATAAAATTAAGGCTTTCTTATTATTCTTGTAGAAACAAGGATCAACAACAGGAACTGAAGAAAGAACAAAAAATAAAAATGTAAATGAAGAAAAAAGACAGGAAAATAATTGTCTTGATTTGTTTCCTATACAATAAAAGCACAGGCACTGAGGAGATCTCCCAGCAGAGGCTTCTTTGCCACCACAGAAAAGGACCCATTTATCCCCTTTCCTGTCAAATCTCATATGTCAGGGGTAGCTGAACAATTGGAGTGAACGAGAAGGCTCATAATTTTGATATCAGTCTATTTGCAACCGCCTTCAGCTCTAGATGTATTGGAGCCAAATCCTAGAATTCCCAGCCAGAGAGGTTAATTCCCAGTACATCCAAATACCAAACAGCTTGGGGAAGGTGTGTGTGTGTGTGTGTGTGTGTGTGTGTGTGTTTTACTGCTCATTAGATCAAAACCAGAATTTTTCACTGTGTCCAGGAACAAGCTGGAAGTCAGAATGCATAGGCTGAAGCTATGCGTAATGTGCTTCAAGTTCACCTGGTTGGTAGGGAAAAATACAAGCTAAGCATTCTACCATGGAAACATGTTCCCAGCCAAGGAGAAAAGGACCAGAATTTTTGTAAGGCGCTCAGCAGCCTCGGTTGCACATCACAACATGGACCACTAGCGCAGGTAGTTCTCCTTCTGCTGGCCAGATTGCAAATAGCTAAGAAGGATGGCGTCTTGCTTACCTTGGAGTCCATTTCAATCAAGAGTTTGTCAAGCATTTTCTGCCAGTCTTGTTCTTGCCCAGCCATCTTATTTAGCAGTTCCTGCATCATCTTATGCAGCTGTTCTGTGGTGGCATCAAACTGGCTGCGACTGACCTTTGCTGCAAGGGCGGTCTTATCTGCTTTCTGGAAATGAAGAGGAAAGGCAGAAGCAGATCTTTGGCCTCATTTGTATCACAAGGGATCTCTCCCCCTTTTGCCCTCAAGAGCCAAACATTACAAGGTGGCGCTACCCCTACCTATCCTAACCTCAAAGGATGACAAATACAGGTAGTCCTCGGTTAATGACCAATAGTTCAGCGACCATTTGAAATTACAACAGCGCTGAATGAGTGGTGCTTACAACTGGTCCTCAAAGTTCTGGCTGTTCCAGCAACCTCATAGTCACATGATTGCGATTTGGGCGCTTGGCAACCAGCTCACACTTATGATGGTTGCAGCATCCTGCAGTCACGTGATTGTGACTTGCTACCTTCCCAGCTGGCTTCCCATAAGCAAAGTCAGTGGGAAAGCTGGCAGGGAAGGTCGCAAGTTCCTTGGGTAAGTCTCCCCCACCCATGTACCCTCTCTGAGTCTTGCTGTGCTTGCGCTGCACCTCCCTGCACCCCCAGGCAGCAGCCACCCCAAGCCCCATCATGCTTGCGCCATGCCTTCCTGGCCACTCACGCACCCCCTCGCTCCCTCTCCCACCCAGCAGCAGCCACCCAAAGCCCTGCTGGGCTTGTGCAGTACTTTCCCAGCCACCGCACACCCTGTTACTTCCTCTCCATTTACCTGCCTGCCAGCCTGCTTGCAAGCCACCTGGGACTTGCAACTTCCTGCTGGCTTTTGTTGTTGGAAACCAGCAGGAAGTTGTGAGGAGATGCTCGTTTAATGACCCACAATCCTCGCTTAATGACAGCAACAGGGATTGCAGGGATTACGGTTGCTAAGCAATGTAGTCACATGACTTCACGCTTTACGACCACATCACTTAGCGATGGAAATACTGTCCCAATTGCCATTGCAACTCAAGGACTACCTGTATCAGGATCTCCATTCAAAATAGAGAGGAAGCTTGCTGTTTACGACTGCCCCATAGGCTCCATTTGTAAAAAAAGCTTCCTCAAGAGTGTCTATTCATGTTTCATCATGTATGGTATATCCATCCTATCCCAGAAAGTCCCACAGCTTACCACATGGATTTCCATCTCTAGGCTATCTTTGTCAGCTTTTTCATTTTCTAGTTTCTCCAGTGATTTGTACAGTGCCTTTAAAGAACACAAAGCAAAGGGAAATGATGCTGGTTACTAAAACAAGAACTCAAGCTCCTGTAGCTTTATCATCACCACTATCTCCACAAACAATCTGTAAGCAGGTGTTCTTCCCTATTTTACTAGGCCTATATATTGCCTATATTCTACCACATAAGAAAAGGTATAAACCCCCTCAAGCTGATATCCATGTTGCTTTTTGGCAACACTATGGAAGTGGCTTGCCATTGCCTTCTTCCAGGATGTTTTTTTCAACTTCCCAGTCTAGTCTACAGCTTTAGAATCACCTAGTGGTCTCCCATTCAGGTAGTCACTAGGCCCTACTTTTCTCCAGGTACTCAAGATGTGGTAGCCTAAATGGTTTCAGAAGGCCCCCATATTATGTCTTTCAGATCCTATTAGTGGTTATAGTGTACACTAATTTTAACAAGGGCTTATTTCTATGTTTAATCAGTGATGTCATCAAAGTAAACAAAACCCATGACCCTTACTGGATATGACATGTTTAATCTAATCCCCTCAAGAAGAAGAAAAGCTGCTAGTCAATCCTAGAGTGAATTATTAACTTAACCCTGGCCCTAATTCTATATGGATTCAAATCAAAACTAACTAAAGGGAATAATTAACAGAGTCCTAGGCTTCATTGTAGTTTGGAAGCAAACCCTAGTTTGTGCATTATGAAATAAATAAAAGCCTAATGATGTTTTAATTTTTGTGGAGTTTTTAAAATCAGTGCCTTAAGTGCAGGAGAAAATAGGTTTTTTTTTTTAAGCTATAGTCTTCTTTTTGACCTTTAAAGCCCCCTTAAAATTAGTACGCACTACAACTACTCCTAGTCCTCTTTTCTTCACGTATATCTTCTTCCTTCTTTTCTGACATTATTTAATAGGCTGCTTAATTGTTTTCCAATGGCAGGTGTTTTCCAGACTCGCTGAAACATCTTCATCCTCTTTAATGTCTTCTGTTACATTGTGTCTAAGGTTACTAAACAAGATGTTCTCTCTCAATTTTTTTCCTCTGAGTCAGGAAGTAATTTCACTGACCCATTTCAATAATGAATTTATGCAGGTCAATCCATTAAGTTGACACTGGCATGAGTTGTCAGTTATTCCTGGTAGCAAAGGCGAACTATCAACATCAGTATTGGTCCTGATAGTTTTATCTATGGCATTTGACACCCTTCATCACAAAATTTTAACATCTACTTTGACTTCATTGGGCCCTGAATTGGGTGCTTACAGTCCTGTATTTGGCATCATGCTTTTTCTGTTGTGTGGAACTGTCTTTGGTTTCAGCCCTTCCCTTTATCAGTGAACGTTCCTCAGAGTTTGGTCCTAGGTCCACTTTTGTTCATTTCTGATACTTTGTTTTTGGGTTCTTTCATTTCTTCTTTTCAGTTTAGCTATCCTACCTATGCCGATGACTTCCAGGTATATTCCTCAGCCCCAGCCTTGGATGATGTATTGTGGTCTTCCCTCTCCAAGTACCTGAGATTTCCAGCTGGATGTGTTCTCACCACTTTAAATTAAATTTGGACAAGGCTTATTGTTTTTTCACCCTGACCATCCTTCTTCCTATCTTCCTCTTAATTCTTTCACTTTTCAGGACTGCCAGATGCTGATGTCCCCTGTGGTACAAGACCTGGGACTTCTTAGTGATGAGAAACTATCATTGATAGTTGCATCAATACAACTACAAGATCTTGTAACTTTCACCTTATGAGTATCCAGAAATCTGTCCATTTCTTTCTGTTGAGACAGCTAAGCATTTGGTTCATGCCTTGGTGGTGTCTCATTTGAATCATTGCAATAGCTTGTTGGCTGATCTTCCTGATTCTGCTCTCTGCCCTCTGGTTCAGGTCCAGAATAATGTGGTTTATATGGTCCTGGACCTCCTTGGATTCACCCCTATTTCTTCCTTCCACCAATATTTACATTGGCTGGGTCTTCAGAAGCATTAACAGTTTAAACAGCTGGTGCTGATCTTCTGGGCTGGGTGTATAGGAACACCCACTTATTTGAATAACTTGGTAACAATTCTTGCTACTGTGTGCAATCAGGGTCACTTAGTTTTCCCTCAAGTCAGAAGAGCTGTCTCACATCTAACTCCTACTCTTTGGATTAAACTCCCCCTTAAACTATATTTGGAGTTCAGTCTCCACAAATTTGAAATGCTTCTTTTCTTTCAGTGACAATATTCAATACTGATTTAAGTTGTAGTAGTCCTGGGATTAGATAATGTTTTCATGATTGTTATATTTTGATTTTAGTTTATAATGTGCTGCGATTTTCACTATTTACTTATACTGCACTTAGGTATAAGCACATGCCCCCCCTTTCAAACTTAAATACTAGCCAAATGTATGTAAGAATCTTCTCATTTTTCTGTAAGAAAAATAAAGCAACTTTCCAAAGCTGTAAGGACACAAGATCTTCATGTCTTAATATCTACATATTCCTTCTTTCTGGGCCACTCTGGCTACTTTAAGCCTTATTATACAATCTTACAGCAAGGACAACAATCCTGTTCAAAAAGAGAACTGAGATCCACTGCGTTCATAACAATTTCCAAGAACTTCTTCCCAATTTTTGACCCCACCTGTTAACTTTGATTCAAAGTCACCTACACTGATCTCTTTCTGTTTCTGGCGATGATCTTCAACAAGAGTGCCAGTAGTGGCATTCAGCTTCTCACAATCTTCCTGGACTTGCAGGATAGTACTCTGGATATGGTTGAGCACCTCTTCATCCTGATTGGGAAAGGCATGAATGACAAAGTCAACAAGCAAATAGTGATGATCTTATTAACCCTCCAGTTCTGTTTTTCAAAACTCAAGCTTTTGGCTTTGGGGAATTTGAGGTAAATAATGAAAGGCTGATCCATCTCTTCATGACAAACAGGGAATCTGCAAAGAAAGGGTGCTCCAAAAGTTGGTATGAGAAATTTTATTTGAATAAAATAAAATAAACTCAAGATATATGTGGAATAATATGCATCTTTGTTATGTAACAGGCACACTCATACATATTGACATCATCTAATACTTGGCCCCATCATCAGTTTACTATTACTCATGGTATTCAGCTGTTATATACATTCAGACTACCCATTAAAAGATTGGAAGAAACAAAATGGGGAAAACCCTAGACACAGTAATGGAAGATGGACTCATATCTAGGACATTTACATGCTCTTTCGGTACTACTTGCTCTCACAACGTTTCTGCTTAGATTTACATGTGACAACCTAAAAGTCACATTAGTTTGTATTTCAAGGGAAACCCCATTGTTAAATGCTCTGTCACCATCCAAGATCAAGATGCACCTAAGAATACTAAAAGTAATTATGTCAGACTGGGGCCGCACCATTCAACCTTCCAGGCCTCCTTGACAGAATCTCTAAGAATGAGAGAGCAGCAAATTCACAAAAAACCCAAACAAAACCAAACCCTTGTGACCTTGGAAACTGGACACTTGAACAGACATATCTGCACACAGTTCTATATGACTGATACTTTTTCAGAACAAAACCAGAGATCTTGTATAGGGATGAACTTTGGAATCATAACTGCTGCCATAATTTCCTCAGCTATTTTAAATTAAAAATAAAATCGCAGGGAATGTAATGGAACAAAAGCAAAGCAAAGCATAGTTGGCAAGGTGGCCTGGCTCGCTGGGCCGCTGTTAGAAATGGAATACTGTAGGAGCTGGGCTGAAATTCTGACTATCAACGACTTACTGAACTTCATGATGTAAGATAAGGAGTAGCCTGGCCAAGGACATGGAGCTGCATGAAGCGGAATTTGGATTCTTCATTCAAATCCATTCAATTTTTTAAATTTTTTTTTGAAATTGTGTAGAAGTATTCAGTTTAATCAGGAATGAAACATTGAAATACTTGAAGCCTAGAATGAAACATTGAAATACTTGAAGCCTAGAAATGATTCTTGAAAACATTTTCAAGAATCATTAACACTAAAACCTCCTGAAACAGGAAGGCAAACATTAGGCAGGGTATGGTATTTATGGTTCCTTTTTCCAAAACTTTCAAAGGTGATCTCTATATCAATAACATTCCGGTTATGATGCCGTTATCACGTAATACAACGTATGATTAAAACAGATGACTGATTCCATTTGCCCATACAAGGTCTATGGCAACAGTGGCATACCTTCAAACGTCAGCAGTCCTACATCATGAGCAACCCTATTAGAAAACATGCAACATGCTGAGCACATGACTTGTCTTGAAAAATCCTCAAAGGGAGGAAGTACTTAGAAAACCTCACTAGTACTGCCATGGCTAACTGAGGTTTATTAAGGAATAATTATCTATAAAAGATAGCTTAGCATGATGTCTGGACCAAGTCAGTAAATAATGTGACCTGAAAGGTGAGTGAATCTGCAAAACATCTCCCTCCCCCCAGCACATAGCAGCTATCACTGGGGGAAAAGGTTGTGATAGTGCTCAGAGGGAGAGGCTAAATTCTGCATACAAAAGCTCCCAAATTCAGTTCCTGGATTCTCCAGGAACAGCTGGCAAAGGCCTTTGTCTGGCACTCTTAGAAGTCACCATCAGGCAATACTGAGCTAGACAGATCATCCACGCCTCTGTAAAGATCCAATGGGTTAGGCCTCCCTATCCAAACTGTGACCCAAAGAACATCCATTCTTGTCCATCCTGCAGAGGGTTACTGTGTCCTCAACTATCCACTGGAAAACTGAAGAGTAGTCTGAACCATTTTCTTTCTGGCCTTACCTGGCGTTGCTTGGGTTTCTTCATTCTGCCTTCTGTCTGCCTCAACATGAAGTTGTTGACTGAGTCCTGCAGCACCTCGTAGCGCTTGAACAACTGGCTAACCTTCTCACTGACATCTAAGCTGCAGGCTGCACATGTGCCTTGGACGTGAGCTAGACCAGGCTCTGGGGTGGGTGGCATGGTCATGGACAGCAAGGTAGACGAGGAGGACATCATGTTCTCTATGACAGATCTAAGCTTGTCTAACTGTGAGCAAGTGAGAGAAGGAGGAGTTTGGTTTTTTGAAAAGGAAATCCTGGTCCTCATCTCTAACATATAGTGACAGGAGCAAGCTGTTTTAATTTGTTGGGCTGAGTCAGTCTTCCTCAACCTGGTGCCCTTAAGTTAGCTGGATCTATATAATGGTCAGAGTTCCCAGGCTTGGGCCATGCAGAATAGGAGTTTTGGGGGGTAGTTCCAACACTGTGGATGCATTGGCAGTTCCAGGGCATCTCAAGGACATTAGATTGGAGGATCCTATATATGGATCTGGGCTGTCCCCTTAAGGCAAAGTTGGGAGAAATCTAAAAATATACAGAGCCAAAATAACTTTGTAATGGCAGAATTCATCAGCACTGTAGTAATGTGGAATATGTCAATAATAATTTAAAAAGTTTCTAGAACTTCCCTGAAACTAAATCCCAGCTCCAAAAGGCAGCTTCCATAGATGTTAAGGGGAGCTCCCCACACCCTCCCACTCTGCCCATGGGAGTAACAGAAGGGCTTTGAGGAGGGGTGTTAGGACTCCACGGCAGGGAGAGAAGCTCTGCTCCTGCTCCCGCTGAAAATCCCCCCTTCCACTGCATCACTGGGTAACCTGAGCAGAATGAGTTTTGAGGGGACCTAGATGGACCTTTCAGTGGGCAAGGTCTGACTCTATTTAACAGGCCTTCTCCCGCAACAGCTAGCCACGATGACCCCAAAATGATGAAACATCTGTTAGGGTATTATAAAGTAAGCAATGCTGCATGTCAGTGGAAAAAAACAGGGCACCCCACCAGGCTGAGTTGAATACCTGCAGGATAGCCTCAACTTGGCACTCTCCAGGTAGGATGGACAACAATCTTCACTTCATTTGATGGCTGGGGATAATAGGAGTTGTAGCCTAAACCATTTGGAGGGTGTCAGATTGGAGAAGCTTTCTGTAACAAATCAATACGCTTTGCCAACCAGCCATGAACAAAAAGCCTGGTTTCTTCTTGTCCCTTTGATATGCAGAAATTAGCAAGTGAAGCATTTCATCATCTGGGAGCTAAAGATTATCCTCTTGCTAATAACTGCAGATCAAAAGCTGGTTCAAAATTCAAGAAATAAAGGCTCTGCAAAGCAGCAAGGGCCAGACATGATGGGCAGGAACAGCCAGAGCACTCTATCCAGATTTTTCTTTCCAAAGCAGAAAAAGAGGCAATGACCGGTATGCTAAATTTTATTTTCTGCACTCTTGTGATCCTATATTTTACAGGATCTATATAGCAGCCTAGAGATTAAAGGAAGGAAAGCTGTGCCAATCACTTTAAATGATTATAAAAATAAAATGGCCCCTTTGCTGAGCTTTCTTGTGCCATCCATTCATCTTCCATTGGAAGAGCCCCTCAGCAGACCCCTTCAAATGAAAGATTCCAGGGGCGAAGCTCTGGAATGGAATTCAAGGTCAAAAGAAATTATGGGTCCTGTTCTTGGTAGCCAGGAGTAAAGGAAGATAAGACCACAAAAATGTGGTGCTCTTTTCAAAGTGTCTAGTTACTCCTACACTTTTCAGACAAATAACCTCTCAAAGAAAACTTGGTTAAATCTCTGGGTGTGGTCAGGCAGTGCATACAGGTCAATTACTAAGTTAGGAATTAGAAAGTCAGTAACTCTGAAAACTGACCAAGGTGCCTACCTAAAGGTGAAGCAGGAAATGAAACATCAAACTTGGTGAAGTCCTGACTTTCACATCTTGGACTGACTCTCAAGCCTGATTTTGTGTGATGTCTCATCTCCTGCCTATATTTCAAGCTTCTCACTGTGAATCAATGGTTGTCCACACTCCTGACTCATTTATTAGCTTGCAGGCTCAACATCCTGGCCGCTACCTAGAGAAGACACCAACCAGTTCGACACATTTTTATTAAGAAAGGATTTGTCCAAAATGCATAGGAATAAATACAAATTTTGGAAAGAACACAGCAGCATTGTCCCCCTTGCAGCACTTTCCCCACAACTTGGGTTTTTCATTTTCTTTAGATTAGTTAAAGACATTCTGGTCTCAACTTATCCTGAGTTCTCTTGCTGACCTGCTCCTGGAGGTAATAGGCATTGTCGGTCACCGACTGCTCCAATTTGGCTTTCCCCATATCCTGTTTGTTTCTCAGCTCCTTTAGCTCTTTCTCTATATCCTGTACTGTTGCTCTGCACCACAAAATCAACAAAAAAAGAAGAGTCACTCGGCAAACAAAAGAAAACAAAAAGCAGTTGGAATTTTGGAGCGCATGAAATATATATGTGTTCTTTGTCTACTATAGAAAGTAAACTAGTACAAGTTCCCCAAATCCTCAATCTTGAAGCAAGAATAACTCAGCAATTTTGCCTCATTTGTCCTCTTTGAGTTTTCCCCTGCAAATAGGGTGGAGGTGTGCTTAAGTGTTTAGCAATGTCACCCGCAAATACAAAATGCTTCAAGCATTTCTGCTTTTTATAAAACTGCAAGGACAAGTGAGGAGGACAGATCATCTGCAAGGTTATAAACTGGATTAAATACCTCCAAAGGCTTTGATCCAGCAACTCTTCTTGGTTTTTTTAAGTGTTTTTCTTTTACAACTAGAGTACAAGAGCCAATTCCCCATAGCAAGATACCCCACTACTGTGATAGGCACCTGGCCACAAGAGCCACCTTGGAGGAGCTGGCCACCAAAGCCCTTCCCACATGGGGGCCAAGAAAGGTGGAGGCATTGCTCATGCCCTAACTACCTGTAATAGCAGATGTTGTGCAACCAGATCTTCATGCTGAATTTAATTTAAATTGCAGGATTTTTAATAAAAGTGTCTGTCATTGTAATGATCTGCCACTCCCAACTCCCAACTCCCAACTTCAGTAACTCGCCTTGCAACCAATAATGGTTCAAAGGAAAGTTGATTTATTGAGAACAAGTGTATCGTTCCAAAGCACTGCTAAGACTGAGCCCACGCGTGCCAAAAGTTGCTTTTACCTTTTTTCTCTTTCCCCCTTGCACCCCCCTAACCTCCCAGTCTTCTCACACTCGCTCATTGGCCCGACCTTGAGCATCCCTTAGTCTTTGATAACAGTCCATCGGCTTCTAATGGTCATTTCATTCACCCATCCTTCCAGATCCTTCCAGCGACCCCCCCCCCCATGTCTCCTAATGGCAGAACCGAAGCAAGCTGGCAGGTAAGGTGGTTAATTGATTGCGAGGATTCTGACAGTCATGTACCTGCCTATATGCCACCCAATGAAGTCAAAATTACACAATGTTACATTTTGTTCAGTTACATGTTGCTCAGAAGATGGAAACGAGCAATATACATAAATCTCATGATCTGGGTTTGGGCTTCAGTTCAGGAAGCCAGATCCTTGCTGTGACTGGAAGGAAAACTCCCTTGCTGATCTCAGCTCACTTCACACCTGGCTCCAGTTTTCACCCTTCTCCCAGCAGATAACTCTTTTGTGTTTTTTGTTTTTTTTTAGGGAGGAAGCCCTTATAAAATGTGCCTTGAAAACCAGAAAGGCTCTTATCCACTTGGCCCTGTCAGAATGGCTGGCTTCACACATCAGACTAAACCACTGTGCTTATCTGTGATTTAAAATGTAACCCAGGGGAGGTAACATGTTACCAGAGGACCGGTACCATTCTACGATGGCTCCATCATTGCAGTTAATGCTCACTCTCCCCTGTGCCTTTAGTTTTTTATATTTTAATGATGATTGCTTTTATATTTTTAAATAATGACTTTTTTTCATATACTTATTGTTTTACTTCATTGTTGTACGCTGCCCAGAGTCACTTTTTTGTGAGATGGGCGGCCATATAAATTTAATAAATAAATAAATAAACATGTTATCAACAAACCAACTACAGCTTATTCAGTAAGCCACGGCTATTTATTTATTAGGTTTATGTACCACTTTTATTTTGTAGAAATAAAATAAATAAAATGTTCCCTCTTCCTATTTTTCCTCACAACCGCCACCTTCTGAGGTGGACTTGGCTGAGAGTGACTGGCCCAGAGTCACCCAGCTGGCTTCCATGCCTAAGCGGGGACTAGATCTCCCAGTTTCTAGCACAACACTTTAACCACTACACCCAACAGGCTCTCAGATTAAACAAATTACAACAAAGCACAAAGTGTGAACTAGGCCAATGAGACTTTCAAATGCATTTTCACACACTATAAACTATACTAGCAGTTTTTAACTAACTTGCTATATTTAGTCTACTTTCAAATGTGTGAGCAACACTGAATATTTTTATTGCTGGACAGCATGAAAATATTTAAAACCTTGGTTTGAATCCATCAATCATTTATGCTAGAATCATACTACAAAAGCATTGCTTACACAACACCTCCCTGCAAGGCATCTGCAGCGGATGTGTCAAAAAAGTCCTAACAGTAGTTGTGCCTATACAACTAAAGCTCTGGCTGGGGAATAAACTGAGTGATCTCCATTTTGATTCTTTTGCCCCTGTTGGCACCCTTGCTGACCAGCATCATGAAGTATTGACCAATTTTAGTTTGGTTGTTTTTGAAAAGACAACACAAAGGCAGAACCTTTCCAATTCCGTTCTGAGGAAAAATTATCAGATGTTTTTAAAGAATCATCAATATGCATTGTCTGATGGATGCAATTGAAATAGCTGACAGGCAGGGCTTTTCTGTTTATATTTGGTCAGAAAAGCAATCGCAAAAACAATGACATTTCAAAAATACGAACATTTAAGGAAATATATCAAAATATTTGGCAACTGAGAGAGCCAGATGGTGTGATGGTTAAGACACCAGGCTAGAAACCGGGAGACGGTGAGTTCTAGTCCCGCCTCGGACCCAAAGCCAGCTGGGTGATCTTGGGCCAGTCACTCTCTCTCAGCCCTAGGAAGCAGGCAATGGCAAACCACTTCCAAAATCTTGCCAAGAAAACTGCAGGGGCTTGTCCAAGCAATCACCAGGAGTCAAGACTGACTCGGAGGCATGCCCCCTCTCCCCACAAAATGGCAACAAAGCATCAAATTAAGTCTGAAACAGCTTTGTGCACCTTAATTTAAAAAGAGAGTCATTTACTTCCTTGGAAATGATAATTAGTTTGAGGTTTGCAATGTACTTTTGTAACCTTTTAATATTTCCTTACAGAGTTTTTCAGAATAAAGATCTCTTTTCCTTTTCATTCTACAGCAAGCATATGGTGGATTGTCTGCCATTACTTAGCAAGATCTTAAGAACATCAGTGAAACAAACATGCTTGGCCCATTAGCAGTATCATCTATTCTAGCGCTTACTATTCTTTTACCTGAGATAACCTATTTGCAAGTTGATCTGATTAGCTCCCTCTATTTTCTCTGTCTCTTCTCCTGGCAATTCTCCTGGCAATTCTCCTTCAATTGCGTTCTGAATCTTCCTTAACTAGAATCACAATTGGAGGAAAAAGTAATTTTTAGAAGTCACACTTGCTTCAAAGAACTGGCGTTACAAAACTCCAACTCTCCTGTATAGAACAAAAAATCCTGTAGGAGAAAAGGGGCAGCACAGCACTCTCTATTGCAAGAAAGAGATCTTGAGGGAGATAAATGGATCAGATGCCTCAGTTTGCCTATGCAGAAATAAATGAAATATTATAAATACCTGGGGTTGGGCAATGCTTTGGATTTGACCTAAAAGAGGTGCTTTTAGATCCCAGCATCTGTCTGTGATTCATTAAGGGAGCTGCGCAGGATTGTTAGACTGCAATGGAAGCTTCTCTGTAGCAGTAGCGTGAACCTCAAAAGTCACATAGCTGCTTTAATAAATTTTAGACTAATGATTTAGATTTTAGAATTCATGCTCCAGTGCATTCCAAAACACATCTTCTGAATCAGATCCAAATCAGTGCACAGCTCCACAGGCTCCAGCTGCTCTTCAGCCTGACCACCTATAGATATGCTGGGTTATAGTTCCTAGAATGGCCAGCCGGCAAGGGAATTTATTCCAACCCATCTGGGAGGACATCCAATGAGGAAAGGATGATGGTGACCAATTCTAGAATGCCCAACACTTCAAAGAAGTGCAAGGTGCTTAACTACAAATTAGAACCACATGCTTCCAACTCTGCTAGACTGAGGTATCAATGTCATCCCACCCCTTGAGCTATTATCAGTCTCAAAAATCTGCTTGTCTTCACTATATACAAGAAGGAAATGAAGTTCGTAAACTGCTAGCATGCTTTCCCTTAGAATGGGAACAGGATGCTGAAACTCTGTAAGGGAAGGCAAAGTTATGACCAGTTTAAGCCTAGGAAGTGGAATAAGGCAAAAACTCTTGCCAAAGGGAAATGAATTATCTGTAGCAGTTTAATGAAAAATGCCAGCTTTGCTATGATGTCTAATAAATCTGTAATGGTAAGTGGGAATGACCTTGGGAGACAAGAAGAAGAGCTGCAGCCTAGACAACAGCCTGATAAGCAAAATTTGAGTCCGAAGGAGGAGGGGTGGCAAAAGCATTTCAGAAGGCCCCTTCCTTAGTTTTTGGGAGAGCAAAAGTGAAGGGGTGGGTACTTTCAGACTTGCAAGATTCTGTTAATGCAACCTTACAATAAATATAGAGCTAGTAATCATAGTTGTGCTTCTTGTCTAGACTATCTTGAAGGGCTAACAAAATCAGAGCAGTTAAAAGCAAAAATGAATTGATTCAGCTCTCCAAAACAGACAGTATGTACAGATCAGTCAGGTTCTATGCTGATCCAAAAGTGGATGATCTGGAAATGCCCATATTTTCAGCACTTTTCATTAGGAATAAAATGGAATCTTTATATAGCAAATGACATGGAATGCCCAAAGGGAAAGCAGAGAGAGAGGAAAATTGGACCTGGCAAGCCCAGCAGCTGTCTGTCCTCACAGTCCCACTCTTCATGCACAACAAGGGCAACAGCAGAAGCCAGAAAAGGAAGGGGAAGTTCAGATTTGTTGCAAGAAGGAAGGGCTGTGCAGGAGATTCCAGCTTCAGTTCCTGGCATTTCCCAGCAGGGCTGGGAAAACTTCAGCCTGAAACTCAGGGGAGTTGCTGCCAGGTGGAGCAGACAGTATTAAACTAAGTGAATCTATGATCTCACTCAGTATAAGGACTTAGTAAAAGCATGAAGTCACTTTATATGCAGTTTCTATTGGGTGGATATTTCGGGCTCAAGCTGCCATGAGTGAAATGCTGTTTGAGCATTGTAAACTTGGAAGAGGCTCTGCCTGGTACAGGATTAATAATGGAAAAAAGGCTCATCTTTAAAAGAAGGAGCTGTAGTCAAAAGTGATACCCCACTGCATAGAATGACATCACATCACAGGACACACACATGCATTGTAAAGGGCATGGGGTGTCTTCCACAAAATGCCTGCCTCCAGTAATGTGTAGCTTTCTCTGACATGCTGTAGTTGAGCCATAAGCTCAACCACATTTTTAGACACCCTAAGCCTAAACAGGTGACCACTGCAACTCCATTGAGCAAGCAGAATTTGACTTGACATATTCAGCAAAATGCTGCCTGTACTTGGTCTCAAGACCAAACACTTAAGCATACAAACATCTCACCTTCCATTAAAAGAAATCACAGTTCAAGACTGGATAATAAAGCCAAGAATAACTACAGGGAGTTTCTTAATGTATTTAGGATAGACAGCTATTGATTACAGATACAGCCTCCTTTAAACTACCATCGTAACAAAAGATCTCTGATTTCAAAACAGAATTCAATGTATCAGGCATCAATTATTCAACAAAGTACTTTAAACAATGAGTCATTCAGCTGCAGCCCATATCTACTTTTTCGATAGTCTTCTTGAGCACCATCTCTTTAGAAAAAGTCTGAAAGCAGTCATTCTCACAGCCTGTTGCCCCTTCCCCACTCACCACCTCTTTCTCAGTTTTGAGATCTTCTTCCATGGAATGCAGGGCAGCAAGTTTTTCTGGCAGATCAGGTGGGATAGCAGCCATGGTCTTATAAACTACTCAGAAACAAGGGAAGAAAGCTATGAATATATCTAGGTAGATCTTGCAACAAAATATTATATTGTAGAGTCAGATAGTTAGCCATGCCCTTGCCCACTGTCCCATTCCCCATCTTCTCAAAGTTCTGTTCTCTTCCCCACCTCTGTTCCAAAGAAGTAGCATTCTTCATGACTTGGGAACAGGTTTAGTTTTGGGGCTCATCCACACAGCCCCAGAAATATGATTCCCCCCCTGCCCCTGCTTGAGATGGGAGGAAAATCTGTTGATATAAAAAGGCCAGCCCCCACAGACTACCTGTTGCCACTTCTCATCAATAAGGCTGGTAGTGTTGTTGCCTTCACAGAATGAAACATGGCTTCTTTCAGGAGAGTAATTGGTGGGCTCCTGGCCATTCTTTCCTCTCCTACCCAGCATCACCACCAATCAGAAAACCAAAAACCAACTGCTGCCCTAAACACGTGGCAGGGCAGGGTTTGGAATTCAAGTTGTCATTTTGAATATTTCATAGACATTTTGCCTTACTTGCAGGCCTATCAGGGTGAGAAGGCTGACCACCTGGGGAATGGACTGCTTCTCTTATGGGGATTAATAATCGCAATTTGTTTTTTTAAAAAGCTCTACCATGGAAATATCAACTTCTCAAGAAGCCACTCCTCCTATAGTTACAAATTTTTAGAAAGCATCCTGTACTTTCAAGCCCAGCCACGCAACTAGTCAAGAACTTTAGATGGGCTCCGCAGCCTCTCCTCACCCCTCACTCCCTTCCTCCATCTGCCTCCAGAAGAAAAAATTACGGAGTAAAGTTCTGTTTTCTGCCTAGCAATGGGAATATCAACCTCCTCTAGTAGACCTGCTTTGACCTTTCATAAGGACAATATTCCCATAGTAGAAAGTCCCTCTCTGTCCATGGAGGCACATTGCCCAGCAACCCGATGGAAGAGGTGGACTCCTAGTATACTTGCCAGGCCAATGGAAGCCCAGCTGATGGCTGACCTCTGGAGACTCCACCTTCATGCAGCTAAAATATCTGTGAAGTCCTTGGTGCTCTGCTTGGTTGTTGCAAGCAAACAACCAAGCTCAGAGAGCACTAAGGACTCCATAGTTCAACCATGAGCTACAGATATTTTCTTCTACTAAAATATCTGTGCAAGATGCTAGGAAAAACATTGCATTCACACCTTAGAATGCCTTCGGATTGCTTCAATGGTGGGCTGGCGACAAGACAAAGGCTATATAGTAAGGCCCCGTCTTAGAGAAACTGTTAGTGCAGTGTCTCCACAGCAAGCAAGATGTACAGATGAGCTCTTTCTTGGGCTCTTTTCTTTTATTAATACTATGAGATTCACCCCTTCAAAAGGATCCTGGCCTCTTGTGATTAAGTGGGGGGGACCTCACCCCCACTCCCACAAAATATATAGGATGATGATGATGATTTTGCCTTTAAAAAATACTTCAGAAATCACTAGGGTTCCCCAGGCTTGTTGATATCTCCTGCATGTGTTCTCCTCTGGGTTTCAGATGTGTGTCAATGAGAGATTTACTATACTATATTATTAATATGGGGGAGGACATGCACATGCAATCCGTACGTGCATCAGTGAGGAAGTCCTGTAGCTTGCGGAGATCAGAATGGCCACACTTGTAGTAGTCCAGCATAGTGATCTGGTCTCTGAGAGTTTGATAGAGCTCATTCAGCTGGGAAAGTGAGCGCAGGGCATCCACCGTATCCGCATAGCGACTTGGAGCCAAATTGGTTGAAGAGGAGGGAGACTCGGAGTACCCCATAGGAGTGGAGGAGGGTAAGAGGGGAGATGGTGGGGGTGTAGCTCCAAGAACTAGCCCAGGTGGCACAGCCAACTGGCCTGCAGGAGCAGCAGGTAAGGCAAGAGGTTGATATCCAGGTAGAATGGGCCAGGGCACTCCAGGTTGGCCAGGATATCCAGCCGGGACTCCAGGATAGAATCCAGGGGCACCAGGAAGTCCGGGCTGTCCCCCAGTTAAAGCTCCAGGATAGACTGGCTGAACCCCAGGGGCTTCTGGATACTCTGCTTCAGTCCCAGAAACACCAGGCTGGGTTCTAGGAGCACCAGGTTGAGCCCCAGGAGCACCAGGCTGGGTCCCAGGAGCACCAGGTTGGGCCCCAGGAGCCCCGGGCTGGGCTCCTGGAACCCCAGGAAATGCAGCTTGAGCCCCAGATGCCCCAGGATAGGGACCTTGGGCCCCAGGTGCCCCAGGAGAGGGACCTTGGGCCCCAGGTGCCCCAGGATAGGCACCAGGTGCTCCAGGATAGGGGGCTTGGGCTCCAGGAGCCCCAGGTTCGGCCCCAGGAGCCTCAGGCTGGCCCCCGGGAACCCCAGGATATGGAGCTTGAGGCCCAGATGCCCCAGGATAGGGAGCTTGGGCCCCAGGTGCCCCAGGATAGGTCCCAGGTGCTCCAGGATAGGCCCCAGGTGCTCCAGGATAGGGGGCTTGGGCTCCAGGAGCCCCAGGCTGGGCCCCAGGACCCCCAGGATATGGAGCTTGACCTCCAGGTCCCCCAGGATAGGCTCCAGGTGCTCCAGGATAGGGGGCTTGGGCTCCAGGAGCCCCAGGCTGGGCCCCAGGAACCCCAGGATATGGAGCTTGAGCCCCAGGTGCCCCAGCATAGGGATCTTGGGCCCCAGGTGCCCCAGGATAGACCCCAGGTGCTCCAGGATAGGGGGCTTGGGCTCCAGGAGCCATAGGCTGGGCCCCAGGAGCTCCAGGTTGGGCCTCAGGAGCCCCAGGCTGGGCCCCAGGTGCTCCAGGATAGGGGGCTTGGGCTCCAGGAGCCATAGGCTGGGCCCCAGGAGCTTCAGACTGGGCCCCAGGAGCCCCAGGCTGGGCCCCAGGACCCCCAGGAAATGGACTTTGAACCCCAGGTGCCCCAGGATAGGGACCTTGGGCCCCAGGTGCTCCAGGATAGGGGGCTTGGGCTCCAGGAGCCATAGGCTGGGCCCCAGGACCCCCAGGATATGGAGCTTGAACCCCAGGAGCCCCAGGATAGAGAGCTTGGGCCCCAGGTGCCCCAGGATAGGCCCCAGGTGCTCCAGGATAGGGGGCTTGGGCTCCAGGAGCCCCAGGCTGGGCCCCAATAGCCCCAGGCTGGGCCTCAGGAGTTCCAGGCTGGGCCCCAGAACCCCCAAGCTCGGCCCCAGGAGCCCCAGGCTGGGCCCCAGGACCCCCAGGATATGGAGCTTGAACCCCAGGTGCCCCAGGATAGGGACCCTGGGCCCCAGGTGCCCCAGGATAGGCTCCAGGTGCTCCAGGATAGGGAGCCTGTGCTCCAGGATAGGTCCCAGGTGCTCCAGGATAGGGAACCTGGGCTCCAGGTGCTCCAGGATAAGGGGGTTGGGCTCCAGGATAGGTCCCAGGTGCTCCGGGATAGGGAGACTGGGCCCCAGGTGCTCCAGGATAGGGGGCTTGGGCTCCAGGAACTCCAGTCTGGGCCCCAGGAGCCTCAGACTGGGCTTCAGGAGCCCCAGGTTGAGCCCCTGGAATCCCAGGATATGGAGCTTGAGCCCCAGATACACCAGGATATGGAGCTTGGGCCCCAGGTGCCCCAGGATAGGGCCCTGGTGCCCCAGGATAGGGAACCTGGGCTCCAGGTGCCCCAGGATAGGCTCCAGGTGCTCCAGGGTAGGGAGCCTGGGCCCCAGGTGCCCCAGGATAGGCCCCAGGTGTCCCAGGATAGGCTCCAGGTGCTCCAGGATAGGGAGCCTGGACCTCAGGTGCCCCAGGATAGGCCCCAGGGGTGCCAGGATATGGCAGTTGGGCTCCAGGAGCTCCAGGCTGAGCTCCAGGAGTTCCAGGCTGGGCTCCAAGTGCTCCTGGACTGCCCACTGCTCCTGGCTGGGCCTTGCCAAAAGCAGCATCAGCCCTAGCAATGCCTGGCTGTGCTCCAGGGACAGCTGCTCCACTTGGAGCCCCTGGTGCTCCTGCCTGTGCCCCTGGCAATCCAGCTGGTGGGCCCTGGGCTCCTTCTCTTCTCTGAGTAGCAGCGCCAGGCTGAGCTCGTGGAGATCCCATGGTTCTGCCTTCTGGTGAGGTTGAATCAGTTGGGGAGTGATGGACTGGACTTGTCTCCTAAAAGAAAAATGGAAAGGGGGTAGATTTAGTAACAGGTGAAAGAGATGAAGAAATTGATTAGAAACAAGACAACACAGGAGGCAAGGTTAGCTATATTTAAAAAATGTGCAATCTTCTGTCACTAACAAAATTATTACAATCCTAAATGATTAAACAATGCAGGCTGCGCAATTAGAGAACGCCAACTATTTCAGATAGAATTTGGCATGGCTTTTGATCCTTGGTCTGATTGAGTGTTCAGACCAAGAAGCAGAGTCCCTGATCAACCTGGCTTACTAGCTCAGTCACTTTACCATAGCCTCACTCATCTTTGCAGAGCTGTTGTGAGAATAAATGGTTACCCTAAACTCCTCAAGGGAAAAATGGAATACCGATGCAAGAAGATGTCTCTCAAGTGATACATTTTCATATCTTTAATTTACCCAAAAGCAAATGGCATAGTCATAGTCACACCAACTAGATAATTTATTGATTTGAATAGGTGATTTTCCCTCTAAGCCATCAACAAAGCTTGTTTGAAAGAAAACGACCCAGTTATGAAAACCTCTCTGAATGTTCCATTACTCAGTAGCATCCATAAAAAATATCCATATATTTTTTATATATGGATATTATATATAAAACTTGTATATGTCCACAACAGGAGGGCATCTGAAGTGGTGAGAGAGACAAAGTGTGTTTATACGCATTGTCTATACACTAATGCTCACTGCATGATAGATAAGCAAGCTGGCCTTGAACTCTCCCCTCAAGAAAGCAAACGTAATTCCTAGATATAACAGCGACTCAGTGGGATAATTCCTATGACAGGAATATAGCAATTGAAGGTTATACTTTCACATGAAAGATGAACAATAGAAAAGAAGGATTAACATGGTATGTTTTAGCATTATATGGTTAAAATTCAAGTGAACAAACTTGGTGATACCACAGAAAATGTTTGAGTTAAAATAAGAGGGGAACAACTAAAGTAATAATATTGTATGTATTATTGCCTGCCCAACCAGGAGAAGATGAAGCTGATGCCTTCCAAAAGCAAATTACAGTTCTCTTAAAGAGACATGAACTAGTATTGATGAGAGACTATTTACCCCAACATCTGTAGGGAGACAGATTCTGCCAAGCGTGGTCCTTTCAGGAAATTACTGGGTTCTCCAAAGGGAAGAAGACAAGAGGATCAGATTTCCTTAACTTGATACTAACCCATAGGGATTATTTCACTGAGGAAATTGAAGTAGCAGATATATTGGGGAAAGTAACTATGAATGAATGAAACAGTAGCTCATGTTGAGAGGGAGAGCTTTAAAAAAGAGCATACATGTAAGAAGAGGTAGAAAGAGGGACGGATCACCATGGAGAATACACACAGGTAGTGGAGAACTACAGAGAAGTATAAGGAAAGGTAAAGCCCAGAATGACCTGAAGTTGATAAAGAATGCTAAAACCACAAAAAGTCCTTCTTTAGATATAGACAAAACAAAGGGAAGAGAAAAGAATTATAACAGCCGCTGCCCAATGAATGCTGCAAAAAGTACCCCATCCCTAAAAAAAGAAGGAACAAAATATGTAACAAAAAGAAAGCCAGTTCCTACGTTTGCTTCAGTGTTGACCAGCAAAAGCCCCTGTGTTCCATCAGGCAAACGTGAAGAGCAAGTTGAAGCAGAATGTGGTACCTACTGTATATAACAGCTCCAACATACCTAGAGAACTGGTATCAGAGGAATTTAAGGGGGTGATGGCAAAAGATGTGACTGAGGAAGTCGAGTCATAAGAATGGGTTCCAACTATAGTAGAGACAAGCAAGAAAGATGGTAGCATTTGTCTATATGTGGACTTCAGGAAGCAAGATAAGGCCACTGCAATAGAATATCTATTTCCTAGTGCAGAGGAAGTTTTTGGAGAATTGCAGGGGGTAGATGTTTTCAGCTGTTAATTTGCATGAAACCACTGGAGTAGGTAATCATTCTGTTTGCTGTTAGGTATTGTAAACATGCTGAGTGTACCCAGCTTTGCATCTCTACCTCAGACTGAGCAGAAGATGCAGTGAAAATCTTGACCTGGTGCTTGGAGGCTGAGAGGGACTGGATAGAGTGAAACAGACTGACCCTAATCTTGGCAAAATTGAGTTACTGTTGGTACAGAAATCCTCTGGTTCCATCAATGTTTCATCCTGTGAGAGAATGTGAGGAGGCTGGCAGAGTAATGAAGCAATGCTAGACATAAACAACCAAGAGATAAGAGGGGAGTCCTCTGGTAGCTTATCTCATATGTGGCAACTCAGTCCAGGTGGCAAGAAACCTGGGAAGAAACTATTCACAATATTCTGAGTCACTCTGCCTTAAAGAACTCATTAATAAATGAGGGTTGGATATTCCTCTTGTGGCTTCAAAGATTCTGTATTTATCCCTAACACTAGTATTAAAGATCTTGCACAGCTGTGTGGTGCTCAACACATCTCGTTCTCTAGATGGAGTTATACTTCCCCTGAAGGATCTGGTACACAATCTCAGGGTTCTCCTAGATATATGACTCTTGTTAGACCATCAGGTGGCAGGTAGAAGTGATAGTCAGAAGAGCCTTTGGCCAGCTTCAGCAGGTCTGCCAGTTGTGACCCTTCCTGGACCAGACAGGCTTTCTTGGAGATTACACAGAAGATGTAATTGGCACAGTATGCAGTTCTTTAAAATGGGATAAACATATATCTTCCAAGATTCCTGGTAGAGAGAGCCACAAAGGAGCCTATGGCTTAGGGATTCCACAGAGCTATCTCCACATGGGCATAAGTGCTGCTGAAAAAGATTCTTTTAATCCTGCCCCCACAGGACTGCAGAGAGTAGTGCATCCAACCTGGCCAAGTTGAAAGCCCAACGAAATTTCAGAATTAGGAGTAAAGAGAGATAAGATGATGGCACGTGCCCATTTGAGAAGAATTCATAAACTGTAGGGTTGGATACTAAGCTTAAACTGGTTTAAAAATCAATATCCCAGATAAGTTGTTTAAGATAACTCCTGGCATTTTCAAGCCCTAATGGACAGAGGCTTTCCAAACAGAGTCCTAAGGACTGGAGTTTGCTATTAGCTTTTGTTAGCCAGGCTGATTTAAAACAATCTCTGAGAACCAGTGGAGCCAGACCCACAGGAGAAAAAATCAATTTCAACAGAAATTAAGGCGGTAAAACCAGGCTCTGGCAGTCACAGAAACCATACCTGTCTCTAATCATAAAATAGCATTCTTGATGCATCTTGGAACTGCAAGTATTGCTCTAATAAATTTGGACTGGACAGCTTCCAAGATATTAAACTTTCTAAAAATACAAACTGGAACACTATAAAGAAGCCAAGAGAAAAGGGTGCCTGGTCTGGGTCTTCCGGGCTGTGTGGCCGTGTTCTGGAAGTTTTGTTTCCTAACGTTTCGCCAGCACCTGTGACCGGCATCTTCAGA